TTAATTCTCTATCAGATACTAAAAGCTTTAGGAGGAGAGAGACCTCTGACACATGCTGACCCCCCAGGCCTTTGTTACCACACTGTTGGTTTCATTATATTAATGAAGTGAAGATTTAAAGAGCTCAGAGTGAAGACTAAAGAACTGGATCTGACTCAAGCCAAGAAGGAGGACAGAAAGTGTGCTGTTACCCCAAAGGAAACACACAAACATTACATTATGTACATTATTACACGCATACTAATAACTACCACACACACAGATGAATGGATCCATGCAGCCATGAATAACTGAGAAATGGTTGAGCACCAGTGGGATCAGGTGATGGATAACTTTGATTGACAGAACAACTTCATGACTCTTTTTAAAAATGAATTTAAACAAACAAATTTAATTCAGCTGTAGATGGAATGTGCAGTTGGTAGAGAATTCTTTGTCAATCCAACAACATCATGATTATTATATCAATAAAGATCCAGCGGTGTAATTTAATCCAGGCTGACGTCTACTGTAGCTGCGATAAACAACAAACAGTTCAGGAGCAACACTGACATCATGAGGTCACCAACACACACTGCATCACTACGTGTTTGTCTCCCCTGACTCCAATCACCTGCACACCTGTGACTCACCTGCTCACCTGGAATACTGTATATACAGTATACTCGCCAAATCATCCCTTCTCCTATGTTGTTCTCAAAACTTCTGACTGCTTTGATGGATGTTTGACCATCAGCATATTAACTATAATATAAAGTACACTGTAACAAATTGCTGTAGTTTCTACAGTAAAAATTTACTTTGACAAAGGTTAACTGTAAATCGCAATGCATTATGGGCACAAAATAATTACAGCGTTTTTCCACAGTAATATATTGTAAAATTACAGACAAACTGTTTTTTAACTGTAGATAACAGATATTACAGTTAAATGCTGTCGATTCTGCTCGAGGTTTCTGCCTCTTAAAGGAAGTTTTTCCTTGCCTCTGTCTCCTAGTGCTGCTCTTGGTGGGAACTGTTGGGCTTCTGTAAATATCATCACAGAGTACGGTCTAGACCTGCTCTTTATGAAAAGCGCTGTGAGATAACTGTTGTTGTGATTTGGTGCTATATAAATAAAATTGAATTGAATTGAAGGGAGTTTTGTTAAAAATTGCTAATGACTTTTTTATTTGTTTGAAATAAAAATGAAACTATAGTTTAACTGCTCATTTAACGTTAGCGCTCCTCCACTGATAAACACGGCATTAGCTTTGTGGCTAATTTAGCAACGGGCAGCGTGAGCTGCTGTAACGTTACGTGGTTTTAGAGAATATTTAGAAGTGATGAACTAGAGACAAATCTGGACCGTTCACTAGAACTGCCACACTGTTTCAGAACAAAATCTACAGTGACGTTTGTCAGCAGCGTAGCTTTCAACACCCAACTACCGTAACATTAAACTGCAGTGAGAGGGCAGGAACAATTGGAGGGTTAGCAAGTCAGTAATGTTTTCAGGAGAGAAGAAGTGATTGCATCTGTTTTTATTATAATTATTTAAGTCATGTAATTAACGTGACAATAGACCGACTCACCGCTCACACAGTCCTCTGCGTGTTTCTACATGCTGCAGTAAGCCCAGCTGATCGTTTTCTTCTGTGGTTTTTGTGGTGCAGTATAAATGAGAGTGAGAGGAGTAAACTAGGAGAGTGAAGTGCCATTGACCTGGGAGGACAGAGGACTCCTACATGTTAGCCATTTCCAGAGGGAGATGGAGGGAGACATGTATAAGGACTGCTACATGGTAGGTTTTCTTGTGCCGTGCTCACACAGTGGGAGCTGACCAGAGCAGGAATAGACAGGTTGATTTTGAGTGATTTAGAGAATTTAGCTGCTCTGGGACAAAAACACAGACAGACAAGTTCACAGCTGGTTAAATGTACACAGAGCAGCGGATAAGAGTTGCCTCTATCCTGATTGACAGGTCGCCATGGATCAGCTTGTAGCCCCACCCTAAAGCCTCCCCTGCTTCCTGGTCTCTGTTCCTCTAAATGGGACCATAATTTACTAAATGAACATCATGCTGTGTTGAAGAAGACTTGAAACTAGCGACTGAGACCAGAAACTCATCAGGAAAGTGTTTACTGAGGGAATAAATCAGCTGACAAGTAGAAACATTTTCTCACAGACTTCTATACAATCACACTTCTTCCTGCAGCTGCTGGAGTCGCCCCCACTCCACCCTGAACCCTCACAGACTTGATGTCAGCTGCTAAGTGGTACAATGGGACAGCACATTGAAAAACATCACATGGACGCCAAAATGTGTTACATAAAATTGTGGGTTTGGGAATTTTTTTCTTTTACTTTCTTCATGGCCGTTAATTAATGTAGGGATCGATTTGATTTTGAACGTAGAGCTCTGGTTTACAGAGTGGATGAGTGGTCATTTTCAAATTTACTTATTTTTATCAAACGGCATAAATGTAAACTTCTTTTTTTCTTGTAATTGCTCCTTCCATGTTGGTTTACCTTTTTAATGCTTAATCCTTGTAAAGCTTGTATTAGTTACTGCATTTCTTATTTTGCTTTTATTTGGTTATTTACCAACAAGTGTAAACAATGTAGTTTCAATGAATACTTGTGTATAATGATCATGATAACGACTTGAAGTTTTTGGATTGTGCTAATATGTCACTAAAATTAATGTAATGCTAATAGATTTATATCATATCATTTTTCCTTCTGTCTGTAGTGTTTTGCTTTACATTGTTGTGCAAGACAGCAAAATAAAAATATTCAGACCCTCGGTGAATGTTTTCATTTTTCATCAGGAAGCTAAACTAAAAGAAACCAACACACTGCTATAACATGATACTGTCAACAGTCCAGAGCCAAGAATAAAGAACAACACTACTCAGAGTTTGGGCTTATTGCTGGACAGGGGGCTGGTTAGGGTTGAGCCCAGGTTCCAGGAAATTGCTGGCAAAAGTGTGGCTTGTTGGAGAGAGGGGCTCTGGTGTTCCAGGAAGTGAATCAGTAATTCCAGTGGCTGGCTGACAGAGCAGGGTTTTCCAGGTTTCAAAGTTAATATTCCAGAGTATGGTTCCCAAAATGACTCAATGCTCTGGCAGGGACTGAAATGTTGGTCTGGTTTAAGGAGGGCATGGTGATCGGCAGGATGAGGATTGGGTGTGCAGAGGTAGGTAGAGTCAGATGTGTGAAAGCGCCGACCGTGGTACTCAACGCCCGCCAACTCCCTCCAGAGCATGTGGAGGGAAGCTGTCCACAGAGAGACAGACATAAACCATGGCACACAAAACACACAGCAGTCATCCCAAAAGGGCAAAAATAAATTAAAGACACTCACTCACACAATTGTCACTTTGGCAGAGTCACGGCAGGAGGGCTGTGACAAATACAAATCACTCTACACAGCCTATAGTTATTGCTTATAATATTAAAGTTTAACGCACAATTCAATACCATTTAATGCTCAACCGCAGACAAATGTACAGGGTTAATGCACCACAGGGGCAGCGGTGACTTATACTCACAATTATTAAGCTTCTAAAACAACATTAACAGCAGTATCATTTATGGGAAAAATATAGAAGTAAATAAAATGTGTAGCCTACATGTTGATCTTTTTTTATATTGAAAAAAGAATGGGTTTGTCTAACCAAATGAAAGGGCCATTTTTAATATACAGAATAGACCCAAGTTAAATGAAGACTGGAGGCAATAATATGACATCATTTCATGGTCAACTAGCATATTGCAAACATTAGCAGTCACTCTATTCATTAACACAAATAAATGTAAAACACAGGGGATGTAATATTTAAATATGGAAACCCCACAAGTCATTGACTTTGTGCAGGCTTATAACAGGCAAATCCAAAAAACAAAAGGTCCAGGTCAAACACCAACAATATTTCTGGCGCAACCTCAATTTAAGATTTTATCCACTAGATGGTGCAATTGTTCAATGGAGCCAATCCCAGCTGACATGGACCAGTCCGTCGCAGGGCCACACATGGACAAACAGAGGGCATTCTATTTAAAGCTAATTAATGTATTTGAATATTATTGTTGTAGAAATCAGATAGCGAGAGTACAATCTAATTTGTATCTTATAATTCCAAACAATAAAAATTTAGGGTAACACGGGGGAAAATTGTTATCATTATTGTAACAATTAATAAAAGAGAAAGGTAATTTGCTGACATCACAGTCTTCAAGAATGACAGCATTCTAATACCTGTTTGAAAGTATATCATTTGAGGCAGAGCATATTATTTTAACACTGATACAAGAAAGCGTTTCACCTAATCAATTCCTTCCTGAGGGATTTCGAGTTACTGGCTTTCAAAATTTTCACAAAGACAAAGTGATATACAATACATTTTTATCTTTTATTTGTTAAAGATACTGAAGAGATTACTTTCAGATAGGAATTTATAACTCTGAGAACTCACTTGTCTCTTGGGATTATACATTTAAAACTGATTTTGTTAATACCAAGTATGGAGATTAGTCTGACAATACACTATAGAAAGAAGTAACGATTTCCAATATTTCACCACAGCCAAAGATTTAGCTGCTTTTAAAAAATATATATAGCTACATATGCTAACGATGTTTTGTTTTTATTGACATAGCCTATCTGAACTGATAATACAGTTCATCAACAACAACATTCAAGAGACTACAACGTCTTGGCAGCAGTGGGGGCTCATCTCTGCAGAACACAGGTGTGACCTGAACCTGAGTATGACTCTTTTATCGCTATCAAGGCACACAAACAAACGTTATTCAAGATGTTCAACTAAACAACAAAATGCATTTTCGGTCAGGCAGATTGGGTCCAAGGTGGGCCCCTTTGTAACAGGAGAGAACCATGTGCCTGGGACAGCCTACTGACTTTTCCTTGTTTTTTCTCTTTCCGCAAGGGAGGGGAATGTGAATTATCCATTTGGGATACACCCAGTGTGGTTTCCAGTAAGCATATTCAGCGGTTACAGCAGCAGCTCTCAGCAGATGCAAACCAAAGATGAAAGCCTTCGCAAATTTTCCTCTCACAAACATCAGCACCTACGTCGCAATCATTGTGATTTTCATTCACAATAATGTGCTTCACAAGAAATTCGAGTGCACCTGCGAAGGACTAACTGGTGTCTGCTGGTTATACATGATTCTGCCTTGTGTTATGTTATTTATTTTACAACTCTGGATAGATAAGAGATTTCAGCGAGCCATGGCATACACATTTTGCTGTGTAAAACGTTGCTATATTTGCTGCATTTTCTTGCATCACATTATGAAGGCAGTTTTCATCGGTCTGCTGTGGGCTGTATCTGTGTTAATCGATGGAGAATGGTATGTTTGCTGTTGGAACGATCAGTCTGAAGAACAGAAGCAGTTAGCCTGTAATGGCAATCGCTGGTATGGAGGAGAACACAAAACCATCGCTGAACTGAAAGACAAGTCCTGGGTGAGTTTCTCTTGTTTTATACACATCAAGTTATTAAAGTTTAACGCACAATTCAATACCATTTAATGCTCAACCGCAGACAAATGTACAGGGTTAATGCACCACAGGGGCAGCGGTGACTTATACTCACAATTATTAAGCTTCTAAAACAACATTAACAGCAGTATCATTTATGGGAAAAATATAGAAGTAAATAAAATGTGTAGCCTACATGTTGATCTTTTTTATATTGAAAAAAGAATGGGTTTGTCTAACCAAATGAAAGGGCCATTTTTAATATACAGAATAGACCCAAGTTAAATGAAGACTGGAGGCAATAATATGACATCATTTCATGGTCAACTAGCATATTGCAAACATTAGCAGTCACTCTATTCATTAACACAAATAAATGTAAAACACAGGGGATGTAATATTTAAATATGGAAACCCCACAAGTCATTGACTTTGTGCAGAACACAAAACCATCGCTGAACTGAAACACAAGTCCTGGGTGAGTTTCTCTTGTTTCATACACATCAAGTCAGTCGGTGCTATTTCATAATTTTCTGTGTTTATTTATTCCATCAGATCATCGTGAGTTTTATCTGAACACAATACCTGACCATACATTAGTAATGCTGTGCTGTACTGAGGCTGAGAGCTTCAGTAGTTGTAATAATTATTTCATTCGTTACCTTGAGATCATGAGATAATTATCTTGAAAAAAAAACAATTGTTATTTTCTCATAGTTCTCATATTTCTTCGTGAGAGACACCAAAGAACATAATAAATATGCACATCGGAAGCATTAAAGTGCTGCAGAAACTGTCACTGAATGTCATTTAACGTTGCACTCTGAAACAGTAGGGCGACAAAATGCAAAAAACACCAAATCTTAACACAGTGTTGCTTTAGGTTTCAAACGGGTTGAAAAAGAAAAGAATGAATTTACTCTCTTGCTTTCCACCCCGACCCATCACATCACCGAGGAAGAAAAGCAGCAGAATTAGAAAAAACAAAAGTAACAGCTTGCTACAGCTGATTATCTTTAACATTCTTCAAAGTATGAAATATCTCACTGTGTCCTCCCACTTTGTTGTTGTTTTCTCCCTCTTTCACTGGTGTTTCCCCTTCTCATCTTTCACTGGCTGCTCTGTCAGTTTTCAGTTTCCATACATACTGCTCACTGTGTCTGTCAGTGGCCTATGCTAGGCAACTGATTTATCACAAAAAGCATTAGTGTTTTTTATGCCACTAGGATTCAGTGAATAGTTTTACATGTTTGGAGATATTCTTTTGCTTATAATAATAATAATAATAATCTTTATTTGTAGAGCACTTTTCAAAAACAAGTTACAAAGTGCTTTAACAAGTGTAAAGACAATAATACCAAAGTTATCCAACGAGGGTTAAATTGAAGGGCAACTGGACTTGGTTGAAGCTACTGGAAGACGTTTCGTCCCTCATCCAAAGGGAAACTCAGCTATTTAACCTCAGTGGGGTCGTTGGCCCGGGACGACCCCACTGAGGTTAAATAGCTGAGTTTCCCTGCCAGTCAGTCAGAACTGAAGAAGTCCTTTGGATGAGGGACGAAACGTCTTCCAGTAGCTTCAACCAAGTCCAGTTGCCCTTGACTTTAACCCTCGTTGGATAACTATGACCTGGATGACTGAGAATCTTCATAGACAATAATACCAAAGAGACAATAATACAAAAACAATACAAGATAAAAGCAAGAAAACATTGAAAAGACTAAAATACACGTTTAAGATAAATATAAAATTAGTAAAATAGAATAAAATAAAAGGGATAAAATAAAGTCAAATAAGATCGGGAAAGGCTCTCCTATAAAAGTATGTTTTAAGAAGGGACTTAAAAGAGTCTCAGCCGACCTGATTTCCTCGGGCAGGCTGTTCCAGAGCCTCGGGGCCCTGACAGCAAACGCTCTGTCCCCTTTAGTTTTCAGTCCAGACTCTGGAACAGACAACAGACCTCTGCCCGAGGATCTCAAGGTACGTGCTGGTGCGTATGGGACTAAAAGGTCAGAAATATAACAAGGCGAGAGGCCATGAAGAGCTTTAAAAGTGATCAATAGAATTTTAAAGTCAATTCTAAAACATACTGGGAGCCAGTGTAATGAAGCTAAAATAGGACTAATGTGGTCATATTTCTTTGTTCTGGTTAAAAGCCTGGCAGCTGAGTTCTGGACAGTCTGGAGTCGATCAATAGATTTTTGGGTTAAACAGGTGAAAAGGCTGTTGCAATAATCCAGGCGTGATGAGATGAAGGCGTGTAAAATGGTCTCGTGTCAGGTATTACATCAAGTGGGCTGGAGGACACTCTCATTTGTGATACTGTTTTTAAAAGCTCAGACAAGTCGATGGGATAAAACTGGTTAAAACTCTGTTGTTGCTGGTGAGGGACCTCTGAGTAAGAGGCCACGGGGGTAATAGAGGCTCTGATTGACACCACTTTATTGGTAAAATAAGATAAAAACAATTCACAGTCATCATTACTTTCAGCTGAGGCACAAGGAGGGGTTGGGTTTACCAGCTGATCCACAGTCTTAAACAGAAACCTGGGATTGTGTTTATGTGCAGTAATGAGTTCAGAAAAATAGTGAGTTCTCGCATCCTTAACCATGTTATTGTAGTTAATTAATAAATCCTTCAGACTGAGGTAATGGACTTGGAGACTGGATTTTTTCCATCTGCGCTCTGCTTTCCTGCATTCCCTTTTTAGGCTGCGAATGCTGTCATTTATCCAGGGTTGCTTACTAGCTTTAGACGTAGGCCTAACCTTTAGAGGAGCAGTAATATTTAGTGACGACAAGCAGATATGATTGAAGTGATCGACCAGATTGTTGGTGTTGGAATCAGACAGGTGTTGGCTTTGGCTCTGAAAGAATGCGCAAAACTTTGAAACACTTTGTTCATTAAAGATGCGAGAACACACGGAGCTTGGTGAGGCGGCATGAGTAACAGGCGAATCGCAGCTAAAGATAATACATCTGTGGTCAGATATGGTCATGTCCACTAATCCCAGGGTAAAAACCAAGTCCAGTGTATGACCACGGTTATGTGTTTGCCCTTTGACATGTTGTTTGAAGTTAAAAGAAGTGGCCATATTTAAAAAGTCAGTTGCATTAACATTGTTGGGGTCATCAACATGAATATTAAAATCGCCACAAAGAACAATTCTGTCATAATTTAAAACCAGAGTAGATAAAAATTCAGGATGTTCTGATAAAAATCCTCCAGGCGGTTTTGGGGGGCGATAAATTATAACAAATATGATGCAGCCCTCCAACTTTAAGAGTGAGAACTTCAAAGGAGCTAAATTCATCACAGCGTACTTGATGACATTTAAAATTTTTCCTATACACGCTCACTAGCCCACCACCACGACCACTGACCCTCGGTTGACTAAAGCAATCATATTGAGGCGGACACAGTTCAGCTAGCTGGCTATAGTCATTCATTTGCAACCAGGATTCAGTTGACATGGCAATACAATGGGAACAAGAAGAGAGAGACAACAGCAAACCAAAGTGCCCTTTCAGTGAGGCAAAGCGAGGGTGCTGCCCGGGCAACGGAGCGGGACAACAAAATTAAATACTTGATGGTAGGCCATCATCTGTGCGTTATGGAGGGGGAAACATATTTTGGCATTATTAAAGTGTTATGATATTATTTTACCCTTTAAGGAGAGGGACTCAATCCAAATGCTATCCATGCAATGGAAACATGGAGTAAAATATTGTCTACAATGCTGCATTCAGTTTAATGTACATTTCGTCTAAAGGAAGATATATTACTATGATCACTGCAGACCAGGGCTGTTCAATTACAGATTCAATTGGGCCAGATTATAAAACCAGGACACAGAGATGGGCCAGACATTTTCTCACGAGTTGGGGTTTCATTGACACACTTGTATTGGTAATCCTTACTGGTTCAGTTATTTATCAGCGCTCTTATCAATCCTATTTATTATAAATAATTGAATGTAGAGGTGAGCTGATGCGCCCGGCCCGAAGTTAACTTCCGTTCTGTTTGTTTATTACTGGGAGCCTTTCCGAAAACTAGACCCTCGCCACTTCCACTCCGATACAAAGTGAACTCTGGTCGGAGTCACCCTCACAGCCAAATCAAGCTCCCTAACCCATTTAGGGTATAAATACAGTGGCCAACTTTCGGACAAACTACAAACTACAAACTACAAAATATGCCAAACAGTTATATTTATAAAAGTAACCAACTGCAGTGTTAAATGAGAAAGATCTCCTGCTCTGAAGTCTTTAACCAAGAGCAAAGCATGGTGCTTACTCAAAATGAAAATTACTAAATGAACTTGTGATCTCAAGGTAATGGAATAAAATTCCTGCAACCGAGTGTGTTTCTCAGTTTTTCAAAGTGATATTATAACCATCTCTGTTGCCTCTTTTTCAGGTTTTTGGCATGATTTTGATTGGAAGTGCCCTTTTGTTGGCTTCCATAACGTCAGCATGTGGATGGATGCATTGCTGTGACAGAAACATTGGATTTTCCAAAATTATTTTGGACGAAGAGAAAAATGTAATGAAAAAGATTTTGATAAAAGCAGCACAACAAAAGCTGACTGAAAAAATCAGGGAGAAAAGAGATTCTAATGGACGATGGGAAGACTGTTTTGATGTTGCTAAAGAACTGATTGAAAAAGGTACTGCACCAGAATTTCCTGAATCAGCAGATGAAGAGGTAAAGTACCAACACCTGTTCAGTTCAATTCAATTCAATTAAATGATAATAATGAAGCTCAGCATGTTGTTGTCATGTGTCCTTGTCATTAGGGCCTGAGCACGAAACTGAAGGGATTATTAGGGCCCAAGCACGAACTGCGCGAGGTTCCTATTGAAACTGAAGGAAATATTATTTTTAGGGCTTGAGCACAAACCGTGCGAGGTCCCTATTGACTAAAAGGATTTTTTTTAAAACTTCAATTCTGGGGGCCTAAACATACTCGAAAACTCACCAAACTTTGCACTAAATTCAGGCGTGGCGGAAAATCTCGTATTTTACACCTACATGTACGAAATTTCTGTTGTACGTGTATCTTGTCCAGACGTACAAAAAAGCCTCTTGGTGCCATTGCCTTAACCCAACAGGAAGTCGGCCATTTTGGATTTACACACTTTGTACTTTAACAAACTCATCCTAGGAAATTAGTCCGATCGACTTCAAATTTTCACTGTGCACTGATGATTAAAAGTTGTACAAACGGTTATCACCAGTCAACCGGTTCGCCCGTGGCGTACTGTCAAAAATCGATGATTCACCATGAAACAGGAGTAATAAGAGTCACGCCCTGAACACATCTATATGCCAATATTCACACAAAGTCAGCGCCACCTGCTGGCAACAGGACGTTTTACGCTGTAATGTAGTACTCCTAGCAGGTTAGACATATCAACTACAAAACTGTCCCAGAAAACCCTTAACACATTATTGAAGCCTTGTTGCAAAACTTGTGTTTGCAGTTAACGGCGTGGCTCTTCGCCATGACACAGGAGGTTGTTGTAACAAGTGCTCTAGACCGCCACAAAGGGGACACAGGAAGTGACGTATAACACCTTCATGCAGCGTCTGTAGCGTGTAGCAAATTGAAAACCGCACCGGCAGAGCTCCAGAATCTGCCATGCGGCTGCCTCACACCCTGATGTACTTCAAGTGCTAGGGCCCGCCCAACGCAGCTTTAATTTTCATCTTGAGTTTTTAAGGTTTTTTTGCTCCACCACCTTAGTCTCGGCTGAAATAATCAGTCGTTATGATTCATCAATGCACTTCTAGCTAGTGGTCCTCCCTTCCTCTCTCTCTAATGGGGCGCGCTAGTTTAATAAAAGTGGTGTTACTGCTACAGCTTTTGTATGCTATCCAAAATATTCCAACATTAATCAGTAAGTCTTTCTTCTCCACACTTGATCAAATGATAAACTTATTTTCATGGTGTAATAGCAACACATATAGTCCTTGAACTTCCCAGTTACAAAGGAGACTTGGCACTGCCAAATTTTTGTTTGTACTTCTGGGCCTGGAATATCAACAAACATCTTATTTGGAACACTAAAATGGAACAGGATGAACAACTCCCATGGGCTCTGACGGAAACAGCCTCTTCTCGCATTTCACTTTGGTCGATAGTTTGCTCCCAGTTGCCTCTCTCAGTTATGGAAGTTGCTCATAATCCAATTGTGTCCAACAATAAAAATTTGGAACCAGTTCAGGAGTCAGTTTGGTCTACATGCTCCATCAGGTCTTTCATAACCATCTATTCCTAGTCTAGTCAGCTAAATGTAAATGTAAATGAAATGTAATATTCCTGCCATCCTGTTCGGATACAGTTTTTCAGACACTGTCAAGCAAGGGCCTTCCATCCATTAATAACCTGTACACTAAAGATGTTTTATGTCTTGTTTGCAGACTTATCAGCAAAATTCTGTTCCGCTTTTTTCAAAAAGTTTGTCAGTCAGTCAGTTTGTACAAAATCAATTCCCCCATTGGGGAAAGAGGGGTCTAAAGGGGCTGACTTCAGTCATATAATCCATCCATCCATCCGTCCATCGTCAACCGCTTATCCTGCGTACAGGGTCGCAGGGGGCTGGAGCCAATCCCAGCTGACATCGGGCGAACACCCTGGACAGGTTGCCAGTCCAGTCATATAATCATATTTTTAAAATAAACAAAGCATGTTTGGATTCCTTAAATGCCATCTGGGACCAGTACCTCAGGATTACTGTCAGACGAGCAGGGACACATTCTAGACCTTGTACACACATCCTCGATATGAGCCAGCACAGTCTGCTGCAGTGTAAGATTTTGTGTCCACAAATGCAAGGTTAGCCAAGATCTACCCAAACAAAAGGATTTGCGTAACAGATGTAAACTATGCACAAAAATCACCAAAAAACAACAGTAAATGGAACTATGCCATGGAAGCAAAAAGGAAATGCAGAGAGGCACCCCACCAAAACGGCTCCTTCTACGAATACCACAATTGCCCACACTGCTGTAGACACTGTGGATTGGCCTCTATAACCATCTGATGAACCACAAATGATCAATTTCAAATCAATCATAGTGCTCACCGATGACGAGCCTCGGTCAAGCACACAGAGGACAGGAAAAGACAGAGAAGCTAGCACGGCCATAAATGTTTTTTAGAGATCTGCATTGATCATAAGGGTCACATTTTCAGGTTGAAAAATCTGAAATCCTGGAGTAATCCGGAAAAATCCCATCTCAAATTTATTTCTTACATACCTGCTGTGCTCAATTGCTCAAATCGTGAGTCTCATTTCAGCCTTATTTTAACTTTGAATCCAACCTGTTTCCCTGGATGTCTATGTAGCTCCTACGGATTGGCTAACAGACTGCGAAAAAGACTGTGTTCCAAATCAGCACTTCATCTGCTCTGCAGAAAAAGGCAAGAGAAGTCAGGCATACAGCTACTGGGGATTGCACAACAAATAAGGTGGCGGACGAGATATTTTTAGCTACAAATCAGCTGTTTGAGGATGGACATGAGGATACATTGGGATTAGACATAACTGGATGCCATGAACAGTGATCACATTTATGTTGTGATATCGGTATATATATATATGCTTGGTGTTTGATGGGTGTTCAGTGTGGATAAAAATTGTTGGTTTTTGCTTCTAGCTGAGCCTCCTGTAGCATTCATAGGGTGACAAAATACTAGTTTCAGATGTGAATTTTACATTTGCATTTTGTGCGAAAATCGCGTGCTGCCCCCGGTGCAGTTGGTGGTAGGTTGGTGCTCACTTTCCTACCCTCAGAGTTTCGTAATTGGCATTTCTTTAACTTAAAATGAGCAATCTGATGTTAACTCGCTGATTCATTTCATTTCCAAAATAGGCACATTTTATGTAATTGTCAGCCAACACTGGTGCTTAGGCATGAGCAGTGAAATCGAGGCTTATTATGAGATACATTTTGACATCAGTATAGTTTATTATTTTAAGTATTTTTACAATAAGCATGGCATTTTTTCATTTTCACTGTGGAATTCAGGAAGTTTTACCTGGCTAGGCAAATATTAAAAACTTTTGTTTGTTATTTCAAATTTCAAAAATTCCCATTTCCCCAACAATGTCTGACTACTGCTTTACTGAACGCAGATTACATCATTCACAGTCAACAAGAGCAAGAAGAAAGGAGATTAAGTACCCTGTATATGGAATTTTTTTGTTGTTGCTGTTGTTAATCAGATCATCTTATAAATCATTTAAGTCTATTAAAACTGTTTCTGCTCTCTATGGACTGTTTGATAGAGAAACAAAATAATATAGATACAATATAGTATATGTATAACAGTTATAAAGACAAAGAATTTGGTTGAAAGGATGGATCAGCACACACAGGTGGCAGGGATTGTCTGAGCTACAGAGAGATGGAGGGGAGTAAAAAGTGTTTTGCAGTGAAAAAGTAGCTGCCTGCTCTCATTGGCTGGATGTGGATGTCGAGTCGGTCGACTCCTCCAGATATCTGGCATGCTAGATATCTGGCTGGCGTCCGTTTTGATGTTCTCGTTGAGTAGTTCCCACATAATGACTGGTGACCGCCGATCGATCACTGATTTACCCCGTATCACAGCCTGATGGTCGTCGAGCGGCAAATCAGGCTTAAAAAGTGTGAACTAGGCTTTAGCTAACACACCACAGTCCCTGCTGTTATGTGGTGTGTTTTAATGAACTGCCAGATGTAGTGCAAGGACTCTTAACTGAACACATAGTTTGAATAACAGAAAAGAGGGAAAAGAGTATGTGACAGCAATTGTACATTTTCTGATTTCCTGTCGGTCTATCTATCTTTCCTTTCTGTCTATCTATAAATCCAACAAATCCATTGTGGTCTGTGGTCAGTTGCATTTTTCAAAATCTTTATATGTATTTTTTTTCAGATTATCATATAAATCATCTAAGTGTACTAAAACACCTGCTCCCTCTCTCACTCAGCCCTGTCACTTTGTCCCTCTGTTTCGCTATCACACGCCTTCTACTCTGCATGGCTGTGGCCACCACAACTCTTTTACTCCTTAAAGTACCTGTGCCTGCGCTACGCAGGGTACTGCAGCTGATGTTGAAGCTACTGCAGCCCCGGAAGCAAACATATCGGTCGTTTTTGCGCATTTAGCGACAGTCGTCTGAAGAATGTTTTTTTTTTTTTGGCCCGCAACGAGAGTAGAGGGGGTGGGAGCTAGTAAGAGACGTGATTGGGCCAGCCAAGTGTCAGTATAGAAAATTACCCAATGGGCTGCTGTCCATGCTTTATGGGCCGATCGTTGGCCCGTTTTTTAACAACAGTTATAAATAAATAATTTATGTTACACCGGCCCCAAAGGTGCGTCGGCCCACTGGGCATTTGCCTGGTATGCCAGATTACAGGTCCAGCCCTGCTATGAGATCTTAAAGATAAGATGGTGCCTGACCATAAAGAGCTTTGTAGGTAAGAAGAATGCTTTTAAATTCTATTCTGGATTTTACTGGAAGCCAATGCAAAGAAGCTAAAACAGGAGAAATGTGATCTCTTTTCCTGGTTCCTGTCAGAACAGGTGCTGCAGCATTCTGGATCAGCTGAAGAGTCTTAATGGACTTTTTCGAGCAGCCTGATAATAAGGAATTGCAGTAATCCAGCCTAGAAGTAACAAATGCATGGACTAGTTTTTCTGCATCATTTTTAGACAGGATTTTTGCAATATTACGTAAGTGAAAAAAGGCGGTCCTTGAAATTTGCTTAATGTGAGACTTAAATGACATGTCAGAACAATAACTTCACAAAATTACAGGTCATCCAGGTTTTAACATCCTGAAGACACATTTGAAATTTAGCTAACTGATGAGTTTTATCTGACTTGATCGATAGATATAACTGAGTATCATCTGCATAACAATGAAAGCTTATGGAATGTTTCCTGATAATATTGCCTAAAGGAAGCATATATAAAGTAAAGTGGATTGGTCCGAGGACAGATCCTTGTGGAACTCCATGACTAACTTTGGCGTGCATGGAGGACTCATCTGTACAAACTGAAAACTATCTGATAAATAGGACTTAAACCAGCTTAGAGCGGTTCCTTTAATGCCAATGAAATGTTCCACTCTCTGCAATAGGATCTGATGGTCAATGGTATCAAATGCAGCACTAAGATCTAATAAAACCAGTACAGAGACAAGTCCTTTGTCTGATGCAATAAGGAGGTCGTTAGTAATTTTCACCAGTGCTGTCTCTGTGCTATGATGAGCTCTAAATCCTGACTGAAAATCCTCAAATAAACTATTGCTCTGTTGCTCAGCTGCTTTCTCCAGGACCTTAGAGAGAAATGGAAGGTTAGATATAGGTCTATAGTTGGCTAAAACATCCGGATCAAGTTTGGGCTTTTTCAGAAGAGGTTTAATTACAGCTACTTTAAAGTACTGTGGTACATAGCCTGTTGATAAAGATAGATTGATCATATCTAGTATAGAAGTGCTGACTAAGGGTAAAACATCTTTAAGCAACCTAATCGGGATGGGGTCTAAAACTGATGATACATGGAGCAACTTTTAGAGCAATCGTGCTGGGCAACGTTGCCGTCAGTGGTAATGAGTAAAGATTACTACCATAATCCCCTTCCCCCACCACTCCACCACCCGTCAGACTTGCCTACAGCAAGATATCCCAGCAACATTGCTCAAAAAGTAGCCCTGTGTATCTGCTTAAGAGGCAGGTTGATGGTTTAGATTAAGAAATTGTTGAAGTTAGTTGGTAAAGATTGAGGGAAGCAAAGCAGTCTAAAAACATATATCTGGTTTTACAGTAGTTCCTGAGTTTAGAGATTCTCAACGTCCACATGAATATTAAAATCCCCTACAATAATAACTTTGTCCGTTTTAAGGACTAAAAGTATGGGCCAGGTGCTCGGTACACTATAACGAAGAGAATTGGTTGCAGTGATTTCCAACTTGGGTGCAAAAGACTAAGAACAAGACTTTCAAATGAGTTATAGTTTAGTTTAGGTTTAGAGCTGATTAGTAGGCTAGAGTCGAAGATAGCTGCAACTCCACCTCCTCGGCCTGTGCCTCGAGGAATGTGAGTATTAATATGACTGGGAGGGGTGGATTCATTTAGGCTAACATATTCTCCATCACCCAGCCAGGTTTCAGTAAGACAAAATAAATCAATATCATAATCTGATATCAGTTCATTTACTAGTACACCTTTAGAAGAAAGAACAGAAATAGCGGCTGAAAAATGTTACATCTGGCCAGCTGACGATTCATATAGGCAACTACTGCCAGTACTCCAGTTTTTTTGTCCTACTAAATGCACTCCATGTGTTTCTGTCATTTTCATTTGGATTTTCTGCAGCATTATCGCTTCACAACTTTGGTCCAGACAGCTGCAGCAACAGCCGGAGCCACAGCCGGATTAACACGCAGCGAAAAAACTGATGCAGCAGTCGAAACAGCAGTCGCAGCAATCGAAGCAGTAAACCAGCAATTGCCCGAGGAAGATACCAAAAAACTTGTCACAGCAGTAGCCAAGGAAATAAACTCAGCAGCAGACAAAACAGTAGCCAGAGCAGCAGCCGGAGCAGCAACCGGAGCAGCAGCCGGAGCAGCAGCAGCAAAAGAAGCAGCCAGAACACTAAGATAAGCCACCACAGCAACACAGGTCTGAGATAACTAGTCAGCTAATTGGCTAGCTCACCATCAGCAGTTGTCCATCTCACAATTGCTGATTGGTTTTATTGCTTGCACAAGTTCACTATGGTTGTAATAATATTTATATATATATATATAAATATTAAGGCATTTTCTCATTGTGTCATGTCAGTAAATAGTTCTTATAAACCTTTACAATGTGCTTCATGGACTAGTGCCTTGCTAGTTCAAAGGGACAATGTGACGTCTCAAATAAATAAATAAATTAATACTTTGATAGTGACTGGTGAAATTGATCTAAGTCATGACAGAAGCAGTTCCTCATATAATCACTTCCTTTTAAGTGATTGTGTGACAAAATAAAAACCTGAGAAAGTTTTTTGTAGCAATGCTTTATTGGGGGGGGGGGGGGGGGGGGTGCAATGGAAACATGAATTACAAGGACAAAATATTGTCTATAATACTTCACTCAGTTTAATTTCGTTGCAAGAAGATATATTACTATGATTGCTGTAGACCAGGGATATTCAATTACAAATTCAATTGGGCCAGATTTTAAAACCAGGACACAGAGATGGGCCGGACATTTTCTCAGGAGTTGGGATCACTAAGTTTTATTGACTCACTTCTATTGGTAATCCTTATTGGTTCAGTTCTTTATCGATGCTCTTATCAGTCCTATTTAACTAATTGCATATATATTCTTTTAAAAAAATGTTGTTTCTAGAGCAGCAACAGGATTTACAGCAGAAAGGTCACTAATATCTCACTGGAAACAAATTTAACATGTCATTAAAATAAATATTACATATTCATGACCTCGCCCCACTTCCTCCCACTGTCCAAAGACATGCAGGCTAGGTTAATTGGTGACTCTAAATTGTCCTTAGGTGTGAGTGTGAGCGTGAGTGGTTGTCTGTCTATGTGTGGCCCTGCGATGGACTGGTGACCTGTCCAGGGTGTACCCCGCCTTGCGCCCGATGGGATTGGCTCCAGCCCCCCTGTACACAGGATAAGCGGTTGACGACGGATGAATGGTTGGATATTCCTGACCTCGACATACTGTGTGAAGTTTAGAAATTATGAACAACTCAGTCCCTCCTCTCCTCCCTCTGCTGCTGCTGGTGAGGAGGGCTGGTTTGTCTCAGCCACCAGCTGAGTTTATAGTGTGACATATTTTAATGTACGTGGCAAACTAAGCTGAACAGTTAATAAAGACAGACTTTCACTTTAGCTTGTTTGTAACAATAAGCTATTAGCTGAGCTAGCGCTGTGCTTGTGTAAAACCAAAACACAGCTGCAGTACAGTAGATGAGACACTGAGCAGATTAAAACATCACATTTTGCGTACTATGCTTATTAAACAGGTGTGTTGGTAAATAATTGGCTTTTGGGCTGTTTTTATAATCAATATAATCAGTTTTACTGTTTGTTTTTATAATCAATATAATCAGTTTTACTGTATTTGTTTTTATAATCAATATAATCAGTTTTACTGTGTTTGTTTTTATAATCAATACAATCAGTTTTACTGTTTGTTTTTATAATCAATATAATCAGTTTTACTGTTTGTTTTTATAATCAATATAATCAGTTTTACTGTGTTTGTTTTTATAATCAATACAATCAGTTTTACTGTGTTTGTTTTTATAATCAATACAATCAGTTTTACTGTTTGTTTTTATAATCAATATAATCAGTTTTACTGTGTTTGTTTTTATAATCAATACAATCAGTTTTACTGTTTGTTTTTATAATCAATATAATCAGTTTTACTGTTTGTTTTTATAATCAATATAATCAGTTTTACTGTGTTTGTTTTTATAATCAATACAATCAGTTTTACTGTTTGTTTTTATAATCAATATAATCAGTTTTACTGTGTTTGTTTTTATAATCAATATAATCAGTTTTACTGTTTGTTTTTATAATCAATATAATCAGTTTTACTGTGTTTGTTTTTATAATCAATACAATCAGTTTTACTGTTTGTTTTTATAATCAATATAATCAGTTTTACTGTTTGTTTTTATAATCAATATAATCAGTTTTACTGTGTTTGTTTTTATAATCAATATAATCAGTTTTACTGTGTTTGTTTTTATAATCAATATAATCAGTTTTACTGTTTGTTTTTATAATCAATATAATCAGTTTTACTGTTTGTTTTTATAATCAATATAATCAGTTTTACTGTTTGTTTTTATAATCAATATAATCAGTTTTACTGTGTTTGTTTTTATAATCAATATAATCAGTTTTACTGTGTTTGTTTTTATAATCAATATAATCAGTTTTACTGTGTTTGTTTTTATAATCAATATAATCAGTTTTACTGTTTGTTTTTATAATCAATATAATCAGTTTTACTGTGTTTGTTTTTATAATCAATATAATCAGTTTTACTGTGTTTGTTTTTATAATCAATATAATCAGTTTTACTGTTTGTTTTTATAATCAATATAATCAGTTTTACTGTGTTTGTTTTTATAATCAATATAATCAGTTTTACTGTTTGTTTTTATAATCAATAGAATCAGTTTGTTTCCCCTTTTACAGAAAATGTTAATTTTTTTTTATTTCTGTCAGTTTGCTGGTCATTAACCAGGTTCAGCTGTCTGGACGTAGGAACAGTAAGATAATAAGAATAACTTCTTCTGCTTTGTGCTTTTACTTAATAAAACCAAATAGATCGTTTTGATCTATTGAAAGACATTTTTCTCCTTTTCTGCTTCTTCAGCTGAGCCTCAGGTTTCTTCAGCAGCTCTTCAGTGAGGCCCCTCATATTCTACAGTTCTCTAATAAAGACAGAAATGCTGATCTGCGTCCCTGAAGAGAGCGACGAGCATTAAAGGCGTCAGTAGGCAGAGTTTCAGTGTTGTCAGTGACAACCCAGGCCTTGTGGGGGAAGCCCACTGGAATCGGAAAAAAGCTGTTCTTGTGGTGAGAGGTTTTGGTCCTGATGGACCGAAGCCTCCTGCCAGAGGGGAGAGTCTGAAACAGTTTGTGTCCGGGATGGGAGGGTTCAGCTACAATCTTTCGTCTTCGTGCACGCCTCAGAGTCCTGGAGGCGTACCTTCTCTGCAGAGCGAATAATGCGCTGTGTGTCAAGTGGGGAGTCACACAGGATGATGGGGGAGGGTGGGGTTGGGCTCTTTCTGAAGTCCACGACCATCTCCACTGTCTTCTGTGCGTTGAGCTCCAGACTGTTCTGGCAGCACCAGGTCACCAGATGGTCGATTTCCCTCCTGTAGGCGGACTCATCCCCACCAGAGATGAGCCCAATGTGGGTGTTGTCATCTGCAAACTTCAGGAGCTTGACAGAGTCAGTCTCTTGGATACTTTTAAATCACTGGGACTGTCAGATAAAGTTGGCTCTTGCCATACTTTAAAACCTTTAATGATCTTAGTGCTAAGCAAGTGTAGCCTATCAATTGCACTAGCCTGTACTGCAGTGACTGGAGCTATAGCTAATGCTAATTAGCAACAAGATGCCCCCCTTCTCCACGGACGACTTCTACAAACTTCTACAGAAAATTACTGTGCTGGAAACCAAGATCCACAGGTTAGAAGTGAATGTGGAAGTGAATGGATTATGTGGGAATGACACAACTTTACCGTGGACCCAAAACAGTGGACAAGAGCATGCTAACACACGGCTCGGAAGGTCGGCGGTTCAATCCCTGGCTCCCCCTGGTTGCATGTCGAAGTGTCCCTGGGCAAGATACTGAACCCCGAACCCCGCTATTCCGCCAGTGTATGAGTGAGTGTGAATGTTAGTTTCCGTTTGAGCACTTAGGCTAATGTGTGCGACTGGTGAATGCAGATGTAGTGTAAAAGCGCTTTGAGTGGTCAAAAAGACTAGAAAGGCGCTATGCAAGTAAGGAGCATTTACATTTACATAGGTTGATGTGGACAGACCCCCTGCTCATGGTGTGAGCTGTGAACTGTAATATGTAATACGATCTCTACGACACAATCAATCTTTTGAAAAAGGAAGAACAAAATACTACTATTGAACACGCTACTCTCCAAACAGGAGTCCAGTTTGCTACCAAGTGAGCAGTAAATGTTGGAATATTCATGGTAAATTTGGGAAAAAATTTGGCCCGATGCCAGACTTATTTGCAGACCCCTGACCTAGGGAAAGAAGAAAGAGTTAATAAAAAAGTGCAATCAATACACGATAATTGTAAGGGGATAGAAGAAGAAGAGCACAGGATGTGCATGTTAGAGGTTAGAGGTGTTATCAGAGGAAGTGTTCTTTCAGGAGTTTCTTGAAGTCAGAGAGGGACGCCCCTTCTCTGATGGCGTGCGGCAGTTCCACCATCGTGTTGTCACAGATGAGAACAGGGACTGAGGTTGCTTTGTGTGAAGGGATGGCAGAGCCAGGCGGCGTTCGCTGGAGGAGCGTAGTGGCCCAGAAGGAACGTAGGCTTGGATTATGGAGTTTAGATGGTGCAGACCCAGTAGGAGCTCTGGATGCAGCATTAGTGATTTGAATCTGATTCTGGAGGCCCCCGGGGAGCCAGCAGAGGTCAGGGACGTGCACAGACATTTTGGTGGGCAAGTGAAAAAAAGGGCACTTCTCATAAATATGTATTCATTTTTTTAAAACAAAACAATAAATATGTTAACACAACTCTGATGTCCTTCCAATTTATTTGAATTCCCTCCCACTCACGCTATTGTTAAACATATTTAACATAAAATCCCATAAATCATAAATCATTCATCCATATTTACACTTAATTTAGGTGTATCTACTGTAGATTTATGTGGCAATGTGTCAAAGTATTTAATGTTATTGTATTATTATTAATATGAATAATAAATAATACGAATGTGTTCATAAATGTAGTTTTCTTCCCTTATCAGGACCTCCTTACCCGGGCCTTCTATGTTTCTAAATCTTAGTTCACTCCTATCGAGCCTGGCTCCAGGTTCTAGTAACTTTATGTGAGAATCTACCGAGGCCCCATTGTCTCTCGTTTTGGATGTTTAATTCATTTTGAATCATAGTCGTCGCCCTAACTTCCACTCCGGCTTTATTGGCTGGGTGCTGTGTGTCTTTGCGCAAAGCGAGTTGTGTGTGTTGTTGTGAAGTCTATGGTCTGTGCACTACATGAGAGTGTAGTAGGGCTGAGCGAGTGAACTGTACCTCAAAGGTCAGTGTATCTTTTAAAAAAACACTTTAAACATTATTCTAATAAGCCTGTTAATCATGTCCTAATCAAGCTAGGCCTATATGATATTCACACATCCCGGAGTCTTAAAATATTCAAGACTAACGTGAGAGGTACGTTACGGGCCCCGCAACGACTGGGGGCCTCTATGAAACTGCATTCCCTGCAAATACAGCAGTTACGCCGCTGGCGATGATTAATGTGAAATGACAGGTGTTGACTTGAGAAAAACAATGTCTTCCTTGTCTCTACATGTTCTCAGGTCGGCAGTTTGGTCGTGGACGTTGTGAAATTCTTGTTTTTTTCCTGCAGTTTTGTCATGATGTTGTTGGCTTTGCAGGCTAACTGTGCTTGTTGTTCAGAACGATCATTCTTACAGCAAACATACCAGTCTCTATCCTACAAAAGCTGCCTTGATAACATGCTGAAATAAAATCCCCTCAAATCTGATGCACTTTTCATTGCATTCCTTACAATGTATAAGTCCTGACTGTCAGTTGTAGTCTGCTCCTGTCCTTTTTGGTGGCAGATCCAAACCAGACAGTGATGGAGGTGCAGAGGACAGACTGGATGATGGCTGTGTAGAACTGGATCAGCAGCTCCTTTGGCAGGTTGAGCTTCCTGAGCTGACGCA